CATGCCAGAGAAGTTATGATATTTGCTCATGTAATGCTCTTGAATTAATGCCTGATAAAGCAACTAATGGGAGACTTTCCCAGGGTAACTTAGATAGATTTCTTTATTATGTCTCTAGATTTTATACTTTCTAGCAAAATCAATATTCGAGCCGGTGTGCAATGCAGCCTCTTTTAGCTTTAGGGTTTAAAGATTTACGGGGCATCAGGGAAAACAAGTGAAGGCAAAAGACAATGACAAAAGAAGTGAAATCCAAAAGACATAAATTACTACTGAATTTGGGTAGGCAAAAGCAGTCATTAGGTTTTGAATTTCCTGTCTTTATTAGGGAACAATTTTTAATTTACCTTCCCCTGCTTTTCCTACTCCTTTCCTCTGTCCTCCTTCGTTAAGGATGCATGTTGCCCTTGCACTTCAGACAGTGTGACCAGAGCAAAGGAAATACTGAGTCTTTAACAGAGAGTTTCAAGCATCAGTTTTAGGTTTCTGCAGGCAATAGATATGGAAAGAGCACCAGAGAGCAAGGAAAAGAACACTGCTGTAACCCTCTGCATCTTCTTTCCCAAAACTTGTCTGATCTATATTGCACAGATGGACCCTCATCAGTCCTGTGAAACAGAGCCAATGGTTCTATCTGGTTCAGTTTTAGAGATGTAAAATAGGGAAAAAATCTTTTTGCTGAAATACTTCAATTTCTTTCTTATTATTTTTTGCTTTTATGTTTTCATCAGAAGTCCTGCAGTGTCATGTGGTCGGTTTTCTTCAGATTTCAAATTTAATACTGCTTAGTTACTGGTGATGAAGAAATGAGGCTGTACACATAGAATTTGATTTTAGGATTTCTCCGCAGAACTCTCTCTGTATTTCCCCTTTATTAGGATTCTTTTGTAAGCAGCACCTGGTGTTGTCTTTTAGTTAACCAGAATTCCCAGGATCTTGCTAAACTGGTGTTTTGATCCCCCACATTTGCACTTGTATCATGTTGCGACTGTTTGGAGCCATGAGAAAACCATACAGACCATTAAGCAGTGTTCCGCTTTGCAAACACAGCATTCTGTCAAAACACCAGTCAAGGTCTATCTTCCTTTTTGTTTCTAATTAACTAGACGCAGGTGGAGGCTAACTCAACTTGTTCCCACATCTTAGTGCTAGTGTTTTTCACAATGTAACCCCCCTTCCCCAGGATATGAGCCTGCAAGCTAATTCGTACGATTTCATCTAGATAGAGCAGTTATAATACCCAGTCAGATATGTTACTATTTCATAGAATCATAGAATCAGTAGGGTTGGAAGGGACCTCCGAGATCATCAAGTCCAACTCTTGATCCACTACCGCTGCGGTTGCTAGACCATGGCACTAAGTGCCACAGCCAGTCTCATCTGAAAAACCTCCACTACTTCCCTGGGCAGCCCATTCCAATGCCTGATCACCCTCTCTGTAAAGAAATTCTTTCTAATATCTAACCTAAACCTCCCCTGGCACAAATTAAGACCATCCCCTCTTGTCTTGTTGATAGTTGCCTGGGAAAAGAGACCAACCCTCACCTGGCTCCAACCTGCTTTCAGGTAGTTGTAGAGAGTGATGACAGCTCCCATGAGCCTCCTCTTCTCCAGGCTGAATAGCCCCAGCTCCCTCAGCCTCTCCTCATAAGATCTGTGCTCGAGTCCCTTCACCACCCTTGTTGCTGTCCTCTGGACCTCCTCCAGGACCTCAATATCCTTCCTGAACTGAGGGGCCCAGAATTGGACACGATACTTCAGGTGTGGCCTCACCAACGCTGAGTACAGAGGAAGAATCACTTCCTTGGACCTGTTGGCCACGCTGTTCCTGATACAGGCCAGGATGCCATTGGCCTTCTTGGCCACCTGTGCATACTGCTGGCTCATGTACAGCTTCCTGTCAATCCAAACGCCCAGGTCCCTCTCTGTCTGGTTGCTCTCCAGTCACTCTGTCCCCAGCCCGTAGCGCTGAAGGGGGTTGTTGTGGCCAAAGTGCAGGACCCGGCACTTGGCCTTGTTGAACCTCATCCCGTTGGAATCAGCCCAAATGTCCAACGTATCCAGGTCCCTCTGCAGAGCCCTCCTGCCTTCCAGCTGATCCACACTCCCCCCTAGCTTGGTGTCATCTGCAAATTTGCTGATGATAGACTCAATCCACTCATTTAAATCATCAATAAAGATATTAAATAGAACTAGGCCCAACACTGATCCCTGAGGGACGCCACTAGTGACTGGCTGCCAACTGGATGCAGCACCATTAACACCACTCTCTGAGCCCGGCCATCCAGCCAGTTCCTGTCCCAGCACAGAGTGACCCTTTCTAAGCCGTGGGCTGCCAGCTTTTTCAGGAGTATGCTGTGGGAGACGGTGTCAAAGGCTTTGCTGTAGTCCAGGTAGACCACAGCTATAGCCTTCCCTTCATCCACCAGGCAGATCACCTGATCATAAAAGGAGATCTTGTTGGTCAGACAAGACCTGCCCTTCCTAAACACGTGCTGGCTGGGTCTGATCCTTTGTCCATCCTGTAGGTGTTGTGTGATTGCACCTAGGATGATCTGCACCTTGCCAGGCACTGAGGTCAGGCTGACAGGTGTGGAGTTGCCCGGGTCCTCCTTGCAGCCCTTTTTGGGGATGGGCGTGACATTCGCCAACTTCCAATCATCTGGGACCTCCCCAGTGAGCCAGGACTGTTGGTAGATGATGGAGAGGGTCTTGGCCAGCTCTTCCGCCAGCTAGGATGGATCCCGTCTGGTCCCATAGACTTGTGGGGATCCAAGCAGCTCAGTAGGTCACTAACTGTTTCCTTTTGGATTACAGGGGGCCTGTTATTGAATCAGTTCTGTGGAGTCATCATTAAGATTCCCACCATATTTGCTTATGACTCCCCCAAAGGGAAACAAATGATAGAGTTTAAAAAGTTGGTAACATTGTGAGGGAAGTGGGTACACAGATGGCTGTCAGGCTCGCCAGTCTACCCTTGGACTTTCATGATCACAAAATTACTGCGTGTTTTCTTTTCTCTTTCATCTTCAATAGCAGCATTATGAAGCTTAGTTCAGCCATCCTTTTAACATGATTGGAGGAGTTTGAAGTGAAATACCACTTGTGTTCTAGGATTAGTAAGAATATTTTCCCACTGCTTAGTGTGTTTTTTAATTTCTATAAGGCTTCAGCTTAACAATTAAAACAACATTGAAGGCTTCAGTAGTTTTTCTAGCTGTACATGCAAACACATTCACAGTAAGGATATTTGTGAGCATGTAAGTGTTGCATACCCGGGAAGCCTATAGCATCCATGTCTTGCATGAAATTATTTTATATTTAAATTGAAATGAGGAGCTGGACTGCACATACCAATCTAGAGGTAATTCAAACAGTTTTGTTAGCAAGAGTCATATTCAGTTCTCATTGAGAATATAAATTGTAGAATTCAAATGGCACCAGAGGTCCTGTATGAACAGCTGCCACCTGCCAATAGCATCTTCTGTACACATGGACATAAGATGGGCCAATAGTAATTGCAGTATCACATACCTTCAGAACATTTATGCATCATGTTGAAGTGACTCTTGCAAAAAACAGGAATCACTGGTAGGGTTGAAGCAAGGAAGCTTCGTAGTCATTTTTTCTTCCAGTAGGCCTTCAGCACTTTTTGTATGTGTTTCACCATTCTCTTTATTTGCTTTCCTCCACAAGCTGATGTATAATATCTGCAAGTGCAGTTTCTAAGCCAGTGGAAGGAGAAAATACTATGAAAAATTTATTGCTTATTCCACCAAAAATTCCGTTTCCCATTTGCATGCTGCCTGAACATACTGTGATAACCACACACCTTGACATAAAAACTCTAAAATACTTTGTAGTGTGGAAATAGTGTACAAATCCCATGTTGGATCTCAAGAAAGGGGCAAATTTCAACCAGTAAAATTCAAGGCCCAACAGGCTTTAGAAGACTTTGTTAGTTCCTACGTTGTGTACCTCTCTCCACCAATAATTTTATTACCCTGAACATCTGCGGAAACGTGGAGGTGCAAGGAGCCCCGAGGCTGCTCAGCATATTTAACTCCATATTCTCTTTAAACATGTGTAAATGCTATTTCTATCTGCACCTTTGCAGAGCTGTGATTTGCAACAACAAAGCCTAAATGACATCTAAGATCCCTTCAGAACATTAAACAAATAAGACAGTAGGACACTTCACAGTCTGGGAAGCTCTAAATTGAAAACTGTACTGCTTTGAAAATGAACCAGTTGATTTCTTTGTTGTTATCCAAACTTGAGGGGTTTTTCTGCATGAATCCAGGCTCTACCTGCTCCCCAGAAAACTGAACCAGGATTCTGATTCCAAGCTTATAATGTAGAAAACCCTGTGTTTCTCAAGTTGTTTGGGTCTTAATTGGATTTATATGAAGCAAATACGAAAAGGAGGAGGAAAGCTAAGAGACTTCGCACAGTAATATAGTTTTACAGTTTAACATTTTGTACACTGTCAATGAGCTTCGGATTTGATACAGAGGGTAGATACCAGCCTTACAAAATTAATCAGAAGTAGTTAGCAACAAATTAAAGTTTAGAATGTAGCTAGGACTATATGAGTTATATTGGACCTGAAATTTAGTATTGGTTGAAGGAGTATTGAAATAACTAACTATAAGGAGAACACCTCATAGTAGTATTTCCTGGACTATCTGCAAGTTCTTGTTCCTTCTCAAAAAATAAAACCTCTTCTTTTTAAATGGCTTTACTAAGAGCAGCCCTATTTCACATGATTGCTAAAAGGAGCCTAGCAAGTTTATTAATCACAGAATAGCAAAATACCTAACACATCTCTTCAAAGCATCATTTAAAAATGTCTGCTTTTCCAGTCAGTCATGGCAAATGAAACTGCTGTGACCAGAACTTTCTATAATGCAATATTTTTTCATTTTTTCTGTCATATGCCATGCATTTAAAGAAAAGGGCAACAATTATTAAAAAAAAAATCTGTAATCTGTTGTCCATCAGTCTTTTCCTTCTGCTGAATCATTAATTAAAGAAATTGGAAAGATTTCTTCATCTTGAAAAAAAGAAAAAAAGATGTTTTTTTCTTTTTATGCTTAGAGAAAGACCAAGATCAGTCTTAAAAAGAAATGGGTATGAAAGATGACAAAACATTATGTCAAATATTTCAGTTCCTTGTTCCTCACTTTTTATGGGTCTCATTCTTTGAATTATGTGCTTAGAAACCTGATTCTGCTTGATAATATCCGTGGTAGTATAAGCATAAAACAATAAAGTAGTATAAGACCACAATAAAGGGCATTCCCTCCCATAGTTTTTATATGAGGTTTATGCAGAATTTAACGCTAAATTTTCTTTTATGAGAATGATCATTCCTTTAAAAATTGGGACATATATTTAAATGGAAGAACCATTAATTTATAAGGGAGATATCCAATATATTTTCTAGGTTTATTTTGTATTTAAAAAGGCAGAATTTTTTCTGGTTACATGGTGAAATCAGATCGATTAGAAATGCTGAATTGAAATTTCTTCAGAAAAACAACAAACCTTCCAAATCACTGTCTTTACTGTCCTTGATAAATTGATTAATTTTGTCTACAAATTGAATGCATAAATTACTAATTTCACAGGACGTGAGAGGGTTGAAAATACTAATTAGTCAAACAGTTTTATTCAAAGTTCAAGCAAGCCAAATACAATCCCCATATTTATGTGCTCTCTCTGGATCATCTAGATCATTGCCACAGCTTACTGACAAATATCAAGGCAGGTCCAATCTCAGTTCTTCTTGTGTTGCCTCTGCAGACTGACAGTGCTCTGAAACACTGGCTTCATCCCTTCAAGAAATGCACAACTGAGAAGGAAATGTTCCTGGTCTGGACCGTGGCAATGAGACACAAAATAGTAAATTTGCACTGGAGGTAAGCAATCTCTCATTATATTGTGTATGAATGTCTTATAGTCCATTTTTGCTTGTCGGCGTCCTTTTATTTCCTTTTTTACTGGTAGAGAGCTTCTGTGGGGCAGTCTTGGCTGAATTTGGCTCAAGTGTTTTCCTGGTAGGAAACTGTTGTGGTTGCCCCTGGCTGTGGGGGAGAGAGGGAGCCTGTTGCTGTCATGTTTTTGCTAGGAGCTCTTCTGTGCACAATTTTTGAGCACCTATTTCGAGGATGCACAGTGTCAGCAGCATCTGGAAACACTGGTTTATTCTGGGTTTTTCTTTCTTCCTTCCAGTCAAAGAGTTTAAGCTCAGAAAACAGATGGGATTTTTCTGCTAGTAATTTGTCCAGCTGCTGCAGAGAAAATAAAAGGAAAAGCATATTGTAGTAATAAAAATATAATAAATGGAATCAAGAAGGATACACAAGAGTATATGAAGCATGCCTGCTTCTACTTAGTCTGAAGAAGACATGGAATATCTGGCAACTAATATGTTGTCATAAAAATGAGGAGAAAAGCCTAAAAGACATTTTATTCCAACAGAGAGATCTAATTGCCTAATGGAAAATCTGCTAACAGACTTCAATCTGACCATTCGTTAGACATCAGATCAGTAACTGTAGGGTTGGAACCACCTTGAGGGGGGTGTAAGGGTGTGTGGGTGTGTGGGGTTGTGTGTGTATGCGGAGGGGGAAGGGACGGGTCAAACCTCATGGAGGTGAGATGGCATTGTATCCCTCATAGCAGGCCCCTGGAAACCACATGGGGAAGCCCCCGAGCAGCTGTCAGTCAAAAGCAGCCCAGGAAAACTTCAACACACTGCACCTCCTAGAGCCCCTAACCCAGCCTCTGATTGTCAGGGACAGTGAGATAACTGCCCCTCACCCTGGCCTGCAGCCCCAGAATGGCTAGTGGGTCAGGGGTCCTGCCTGGGGGGTGTTGGCTACAAGGACCAGAGCAGATAAAACCAAAGGCATATGCTCGCCATGTGGTCGTGGCCCTGCCATCTGAACATGTGAGAGCTGGTCTTCCACAAGATTCCAATGATAGCTATGTAATCTGTCTCTCCTTCTTTCTCCTTCCTCTCTCTTCTTGATCCCTCTTCTTCTCTTTCTTTCCTCCTTTCTTGATGGTTTGGGTAGCTTAAAGCTGGAGGGATTGGTTTTTGACTTAAGTGTTTTGGATTAGTATGTGCTGTGTCGGTATTATGGAAGAACATTTTGTCTAGCTTGTGTGATGGCCCTTGAACTTTTGCCAAGTTCCCCTATTTTGTCCCCTGAATTACAGTACCTCTTCGGAACAAGTCCGTGTTTTATTCTCTTGACACTATCTCAAGGTATTCAAGAACCCTATATACATATATTTTAAAGTAAAACCCCTGACTGAACCCGTGGCTCTGGGGCTTGGAGTGTTACACCTTTGCAATCTTGTCTGGAGCATCTCTCTTACGATGAGAGACTGTGGGAGCTGGGTCTGTTTAGATCAGAGAAGAGAAGACTGAGAGGGGATCTCGTCAATACCTACAAATATCTCATGGGAGGATGTCAAGAGGATTGTGTCAAGACTCTTTTCAATGATGCCCAGCAACAGGACAATGAGCAATGGCCACAGACTAAAACACAAGAAGTTCTACCTCAACATGAGGAAAAACTTATTTTCTTTGAGGCTGGCAGAGCACTGGAACCGGGTGCTCAAGGGAGGTCATGGAGTCTCCCTCTCTGGAGACATTCAAAACACACCAGAATGCATTCCTGTGTCATCTGCTCTAGGTGACCCTACCTTGACAGGAGTGTTGTACTAGCTCTCCAGAGGTCACTTCCAACCCTACCTATGCTGTGATTTTGTGACCCTCTAATCCAAGCTTGTCCGTGAAGAATCAAAAGACAAGTCCCCCCAACCATCATTTTTTTACCCTTCCTTATCAAATAGAGAGCTGGTCTAGAAAAGAACCAGGCCAGTAACCATTTCCCAATAATTATGTACGTCGAATGCCTGTCACCTTTTTCTGAAAATCAAGAACACGGTAAGATTGAAACACTTTTATCGTCGCTTTTTCCTGTGTAGTTGAGTTCAAGTAGCATAGCCAAGGAGAAAGAGTGTCAAATAGGATAACTGTAAGTCTTCTATTTGGAAATCATCCTCTTGGCACTGAAAGAATTTTCAGATGTACTGCAGAGTTATCACTTTGAACACTGAATAGCAGGACATATTTTAAACTCTTCCCACATGATCTAAAGCAGTGATTGTTGAACACACCGTAAAAGATGCTCTCTCTGACTTGATAAGCTTGATCCTTCAACTGCAACTCTGCAACTTCCTGACAAATGGCTCACTGTAAGAGTTGCAGATATCTGCTTTCCTCCCTGTAGGGACAGCAGTGAAAGCAACTACAGTGAGCAGTAAACACCCTCCTCTTTCTCAGCCTCAGCACAATGCCTGTATTCCCCTCTGTTGCAATCTTGTTTTTATTCATGATCACAAGATACCTTTCAAAATAATAAATAGCAGTCCTTGTCTGCTTGACTGTAATTCCTTTTATCATCCCAGTTACAAAATTAAACGTGGTTGCAGAGCCATGTCAAATATAGACAGGTTTATCACTTCTGGTTTATCAGCAATGTAAGGACTGCATAAATGTCCTAGTTTAAGGCAGGTCTAGACTGATAGCCCCGAGTAACAAATTGTGAACATGAAGCTTCTTGGTGATCCCTGTGAATTTGTGCTGAACCCAGAGAGAGCTAGTTCAAATTTTCCTGCACTCTCACTGCAATGCTCATGAGTACTAAGTACATGACCTGAACCCAGCACTGACCTGGGACACTGAGCCTCCATCTGACTAAGATATATTCTTTCATTCTTAATGCTATTAAAACAGTATTTCCAGGCTAAAAATCTAGCCCAAACCTGTGAAGCAACCTTCCCTTTCAGAGTGCTCTTGTTTAAGAGCCTTGAACACTGCAGGAGGAAGCTACACTTTCCTCTGAGCAATACCCACATCACAATATATCTATCCTCTGCTAGTGGGATGCCCAAACTTGTACCTCACTGACAAGAACTCACATGGTAACACAATCATAGCTTTGGATTTAGGTAAGCTTCTTTGGCTGTCATTACCTTCCTTCATATGGCATAGCACCGGAAAACAGCGCGTGCTCTCTGGTCAGGTGCTGTTCAATCTCATCCAGTTTCTTCTGGAAATGCTGGCAGGAACTCTTCATCACTTCTATTTCATGAAATGTACACTACACAGAAAACAAAGAAGACACCTCAGCTGTTTTTGTTTGAGCACTTCCATGTTGAGTGCATTTAAAGCTGACGGTGTGATGGTATGGATCTTCCTCTTACCCACTCAGCAAGATCTCTGTGAAAGTCCAGATGGCACTTCAAGTGAGTTTGCTCTGGGTACATCAGTCACATCCTAATCATCCTAAAGCACGTATGTTTAAGTCCTGGCACTATTTGGGCGGATGAAAGTGTAATTTTTGACATTGAAGGAGAAAAGGACTTTGATCAAAGGTCTGGCAGAATGTACCAAATTCTGAAATGACCGCACTATTATCAGACATTATATTTGAGCAGGATGAATTAAATTTATGGATAAAAGATAGGTTAAATTTCTGTCCACTGGAAGCTGGAGACTGTTTTTAGAATGAGAAAGAGGGAGCGAGGTGTTACAATCTGCTTAAATGCTGCAGAAAGAACTTCAGATTTGGATATTTCCCCCAGAAAAAATTAAAACTCACACAAAGTTATTTGCTGATAGCAAAACCTTATATTTTTATTTTATTAATTGCTAAGAGATGCAAAGAGAAAGAGGAAAAATTAAGAAAAAATTGGAAAAAGCTAGGATTACTTTTAGAAGAATAGGAAAGTTACCACAAATCTCCCTTTCCGCCGAGCTGGGGGCGGGGGGGGGGGGAGGAGGAGCAGTTTCTGCCTTTTTTTCTCTCTCTCTGCCTTTTTTCGATGTAATCTCTTAGCTGCGGGCGGGGGTGCCATTCTTAGCAGTTTAGTTCTCTGGAATGCAACCAGGATGTGTAGATTTGCCATTTAGGTTTGAGCCATGTCCCAGGCCGTGTAGGGTCCCGATCAGCAGAACCTTTCGGCCCTCAGTGAGGACAGAAGCATAACGTATAACTCAAGCATGTGACACGATGGGTGTCAGTTCTTCTCCAGGGCAGCAGAATTTCAGTCTCCGTTGGTAGGCAGGCAGCATGCGGTGGCAGAGAAAAGGTGAGGGGGATGCGGAGAGAAATTCTCGGCTAGAGAGTTCTCTCTCCCTTTCCTCTCCCTGATTTTCCAAATTTTTACCTCAATTTTTATGCAGTTAAAAGGTGGTGGCACATGCTTTCTTGGTATGTAGCCCTATTCAGAAGTTTGAAGATATATGTTAACCATAAAAAATAACAGGATCTTTTGGCAGGAAAACTTCAGCAAAAAACACTGGTAAGGGTGTCTGGCAGGAAAGTCGACAGAGAAATTTTGGTAGGAAATTTTGACATGAAAAAACAATGGCAAAACATTATTTTTGGCATTTCTCTCTTATCTGGTTGTTACATAAGGGAAGAGAGGAAAGACAAATAAGAAATATGGAAAGAAAAATATCTTTCATGGTGGTTCTGCTAAGCGTTACACTGATAATTTCTCATCTATCACCAGTTAGAAAACTAGAATTGGATTTAACTAAGCAAGAGCAGACATTCACCACAGATACACATGCAGGTTCTGCACCAGAGTAGTTGTCCTGATCCAAATGTAGACATCTGTAATAGGCTATAGGATCTATGCCATAAATGTCACCATTACTCTTCTTTAAGAGAAGGTATCTAGTATGATTTTTCATTGTACATCTACCCTGATGTAGTCAGATACACTAGGATTTTCTCAAGCCAGGGGAGATGAATGAGCAAGAATGAACAGTAAATCGTATAGGCAAAGTATTTTAGCAGTGAATTTGCCTTGTGTGAGAAAATTGTGGTTTAAACATGTTTTAAAACGGCTTTTTTGTATTCTCTCTGCTAACTCACGTTCTTCTTCCCAAAATCCCCCATGGCCAGTTCTTATCTCTTTCTCAGGAATGTCCTGAGAAGATATCAAGAAGTCTTCTCATTGGACCTTGTAAACCCTTCCTGCGATTGGGCGTCATGTAAGTCCCCTGACCCCGTAGTTGATCACTCTGTGAATCCTCCTAGGACCTATATATGTAACCACCCCAACAATAAAGCTCTCTCTCGCCTCCTCTCCAAGTCCCGTGTGCTCTCTGTGGCTGCCATGGGACCACGTGGTGGTGGGAGGGGGAACACCTAACCCCTCCATGCGTCCAGGACCCAAAGAAACCCCTGGAGCTGGAGTAACCTCTTCCCTATCCACCTCAAGCCATCGGAAAATTGTTCCTCAGATGGAAATGGAACTAGGACTTGTGCTGCCCCACATCATGGGAGGGGAAAGAGATCCAGAAAGTATAGGCAATTTTTCTATTTACTAATTTGTAGCACAGGAAAATGACAGACCTCCAGTGACATTGAAATAAAATCCTGTAACAGGAGTCTGTCAGTGTCTGAGTTTCTAGCCACCTTAAAGACTATTCTTGACTTTTCACACCTTGTTCAGGGCAGAAATGCCAAAAGCCTCACCCAAGTTATTTTGAAGACAGTACCACCTTCTTCCTGAAAGCATGCTTCCCTATCAGACTGAAATTGACCTGAGTGCAAGAGGGTGTTTGACATGTTCGTATCTTAGCACATTTTTGTGCCTTGTAAGCCACAGGAAAACAGCGTAGAAATCTGCATAAACTACAGAGGCATGTTTGCAAAGCATAGAAATGCCCAGTCTCTTTAGATTCCTGCAATCATGTCCTTTGATGATCTCTTCATGTTTGTGTGTTTGAATGGTCCCTCAGTTCCAGCAAGGCCTGAAATATGATGAAGCCCTTCCTTCTAGGAGATCAGCTTCAGCTGGAGGGCAAAAGATTTTCCCCATGTACTTGAGAAACCTCATTCTCAATGCAACTGTTATGTCAGGCACACTCCTTACGTATGTGACCCTGGGACAAAATATCCTGTAGAAGTAAATTAAAAAGTCTAGCCCAAACTGCAAAGAGATTGCACCAGAAAGGGCTAAATAGAGACCAATATGTGATAGAGCCAGTCCTGTGACTGCAGTGGAGGTGAGTTCTCCTGAGTGTCTACTCCATGTGCAACTCTTAATCATAGAATCGTAGAATAATTTAGTTTGCAGAAGAACTTTATGAACATCAAGTCCAACCATTAATCCAGCACTGCCACGTCCACCACTAAATTATGTCCCTAAGTGCCACACCTACACAATTTCTAAATATCTCCAGGCATGGTGACTCAACACCCAAAATATTGGCTAGTTGCCCATTTGCCACCACACCAAAATTTAATCTTGATCCTCAGACAGTTTTCTTGTTACTAGACAAGAGTGTGTAGGGTACAAATGAGCAATGTTCACATAGTAATATGATTTTTACTGCTTGCCAAAGCCAAGCAGAGTTAGGACTTGTAGCCATCAAAAACGTGTGCCCAAATGAGCTTGAAGAGCTCCTATCTTTTGGGTCACTAGGAGGAAATCAATGGGCCACAGAAAAATTTCTAGGTTGTTCCTCAATTTTAACAGAAGTCTGGAAAACGCCATGCAAAATGTCCAAAAGCACAATGTGTTTACGTTTGGTAAAAAATCGTACTACCCTTATAGTTAAGGTACAGGCAGCTCTCCTGTGAAAGGTGCTGTTCGAGCATATCACAGAGCACAAGTTCACGCTGATTAATTTAGGGCTTAGCAGGGATGGAAGGCAGCAACTCACTCTTCCAGGACTACTCTCCTGCAATGCCTCGTTTAATGTAAGATTCTTGTAAATAGGATAAATTTTCTGTCTAACAGTCGCTCCATGGCAGTTTCATGCCCCTTTGGTAAACGGGATGTAATCTGAGCAACCTTCTCACTGTAAAAGATGTAGAAACTACATTACCTGCAATAAAAAGTTGGCATGGGTGTAATCTCAGCATAGTGACTAATATTCACTAAATTCAGTCACTTATTACACAGTGACTTGGATGTGGAGCTGTATCCCTAAGGATGAATTTCGGAGAATGATATGGTGCAAACTCTGCTCCTCCCAAATTGTGTGCCCACATACTAGAGAAGTCAAATCACCATTAGCCACCACTAGAAGAGTGATAAAACAGTAATGAATAAATGAAAAATGGCTTCTCAGTCCCACATAATATACTGACTGCCATCTTCTGGAAACAGCAAGATAGCTGTCAAAACCATATTTTCTAATATACTTTTCAAAGAAAAGACATTGCAGATTTATGTATTTAGTGATGTAGCAGCATAAAAGTTAATCAGTTTTACTTTCTGGAACTTTCACCTAATCATTTTCTTCCCCAATTTGTACAACTGTTCAAGTTTCATTTCCTTATGAAGAGCAAGTACAAGAGGGAAAATGAAAAGGCCCGCAAAATAGCCTGAACAAAGAAATAAAACACGTGCTGACTTTTTATTAGCGGTATCTTTATTGCAAAAATTCATCTCACGGGATATCACATTTAATGCAAGCTTCTTATTCTACCAGAGCAAAAGGGTTTGAGGTTCTGAGAAGTCACAATTCATTTTGATTTATAGCAGTTTGGCTTATGGCTTATGAGTGTTCACAGACAGTCTTGAATAAGCACTAAGTAATATAACCTAAAGGAATTATCTTAATAAGGATTACACTAAATCATGTAACCTGACATTTTCTGTTATTTATCAATAACAGTGAAGTTATTAATTATTTATTATTAATTATTTATTAATTGAACTCAGCCGATTCACAGAAACTCACTGAAACTAAATTACACCTCTCAGATCATTTGACTGTAAACTTTACCTCCTAGTTCACAGTAAAAATTTTAAGATTGGGCTGATATATATAAGTTACTGAAAGTTGCAGCCTAACAAAAGTGAAGGTAAACAGATATGTTTGCTGTTTTTTCCCAGAAGGGAATGCTTCTTTCCCCATTCATTTTTGCAACTACATTCCCAAGATATGTATCACTAAAGAAGAAAGCATGGGAAGAGAGGAAGGGAAAAGGTAGTTCATAAAGTGTGTCAGCTCTATATGCATGCATCAGAGCAAGATTATGCACTGCAGTGTCCTGAGTATGCTTTTGTCAGGTGTTTAGGGGTAGACAAAGCAGGAGTGGCCACCTGAGTTTCCTGACAGGGATATCAGCTTGGCTGAATGCTTATTGATCAGCTTCATACTATCCTTTGAATCCCCTGGGTCTGACTGTATGAGAGGACTACTCTCAGAACAGCACGTTTACATGTTTGAGAAGTCCATAGTATCATTGCTGGAAAGGGTCTCATTGAGAGGAGCATTTGTTCTGTGCCCTTCTTTCTTGACATAAACTCCATCCCTGAAGACATCTGAACAGTAATAGATTTCAGAAGAGAAGCCATTTCACCCTTTGGACAATGTCTCCTTGTTCTGATTTGTCAGCACCTAACATCTCCCCTATGACACCAGCCTCTTGTTCTTCAGATGAACTGAATCCAGGCCCTTTCACTGGGCAGGGGGTAGTTTCAAATGCTCAGCCGTATCCTATAATCATTACAACTGAGCTTCAGGCTTTAAAGTTTGCAGAGTTAGAAGACCACTTTATCTGCTTACATAGTGTTTTAAGGTGCTTCTTTTTCTCCTGAGATATGCATGATATCAAATATGCTGTCAAAAAATATTACTACAAAAATTCATCTGCTGTCCTGGTCAAAACCTGGTGAATGCAGGCAGGTTTGACCTATTTTTAAAGAAAAATGTGAAGCATCTGTTCCAACTTCAGTCAATTATGTCCCACCCATTCATGCACTAGCTAGAGAACTAAGCAAAACATATGATAGTGGAAACTAGGCTGATCTTTAAGCACAAGTTGAGACATTAAAAACTTGATAAAATGTCTGCAGACCAAGTTAATATCACTACAGTTAGGCTACAGAAAGACCTCCATGTGTCTCGCTGGATTTGCCCTGGAAGGAAGTGTGATGCTTGCTCTGCTATCATGGCTCTCATTGACAAAATATGCAAGGTATATAGACAAATCAAGGCTGAATGCACTCTGAAAGGCCGTCTACATATATATTTTAAAACAATAATACAATAGGACCAAATAGTCATTTTGAGCATTGTCTCAGTTTAATGAAACTGAAGTGTTTTGCTAAGGAGGATGAGTTATGAGGAAGATCAAGCTCCTCCCTCCAAGCAATTGTAAATCCGAAATTAAGAGGATCCAATTGAGGAAGTATGGAGAAATAAAAAGATAACAGCCCCTTATGTGTATTGGCAGAACAACAAAAGAGTACAAAAACATTTAAACAATAATCCTGCACCCAAATTTCCCTCCAAAAAACCAGTTCAGTACTTTTCGCCTTTAGGGCGCAATTCCAACCACGGTCAGCAGGGGGCGCTGTTGGATCACCGGAGGAGCAGAGCCTGCAGTTGCTCAGTGGTGGCCGGCAGGGGGCGCTGTTGGGGTCTGGCGGTCGCTACGTGGGGGCCCCGGTGGGCGGAAGAAGCCAAAATGGAGATCTCCCCCCTGCACTGAGAAGAGAAAGGGGAAAAGGGGAAAAAGGGGCTCTTCTCACAGACTCACACTGTTGATGGCTGGCTCCAGCCAAGACTCCCTCCCCCTCGTCGACAGGCACAAATCACTGCCAGCAGGGGAGCAGAGGAGGGAAGGGGTGGCCTCCTCCCCCAAGGGTTTCTCTGCAGATGGGCCAAGCCTCTCCGATGAAATCCAATTTGCAAATGACACCAAACTGAGTGTTGCAGTTGACACACCTGAAGCATGGGATGCCATCCAGACCTGGACAAGCTTGAGAAGTGAGCCCATGGGAATCCCGTGAGGTTTAATAAGACCAATAATGTCCTGTATCTGAGTCAAGGCAATCCCTGATATCAATATAAGCTTGGAGATGAATAGATCAAGAGCAGCCCTGCCAAGAAGGAATAGGGAGTGCTAGTGGATGAGAGGCTGAGCGTCAGCCAGCACTGCGCGCTTGCAGCCCAGAAAACCAATTGTATCCTGGGCTGCATCGAAGGAAGTGTGTCCAGCAGGGTGAGGAAGGTGATTCTGCTCGTCTTCTCCACTCTGGTGAGACCCCACCTGGAGTGCTACATCCAGCTCTGGGGTCCGTGGCACAGGAAGGACATCAACCTGTTGGAACAAGTCCAGAGAAGGGATATAAAGATGATTAGAGGAATGGAGCACCTCTTCTATGAGGAAAGGCTGAGAGAATTTGGTTTGTTCAGCCTGAAGAAGAGAAGGCTTCAGAGTGATCTAATTGCCTCCTTCCAATACCTGAAGGTAGCCTATGAGAAAGATGGAGAGGGACTTTTTTATAAGAGTATGTAGTGACGGGATAAGGGAGAATGGCTTCAAACTAAAAGAAAGTAGGTTTAGACTAGATATTAGGAAAAAACTCTTAACTGTACGGCTGGTGAGGCACTGGAACAAGTTGCCTAGAGAAGCTGTAGATACCCCATCTCTGAAAGTGTTCCAGACCAGGCTGGATGGAGCTCTGAGCAACCTACTGTAGTGAAAGTTGTCCCTATCCACAGAGGGAGAGTTGGAACTAAATGATCTTTATGATCCCTTCCAACCAAAGCCATTCTATGATTCTGTGATTTACAGCTAATAAACCTTTACTGAAAATATGCATTCTGCATAAGCAACAAATTAACTTTTTTTTTTTAATTACTGTTATCCAAAACAGAGGACTTTCTGAAGTTCACTCAACCTTGATACACCAGAAGAAATTATTTGTACAACTTTTAGCATTTTGGGAAAAGAAATCTTGTTATTCATATCAGTTCCCATGTGTGTGAAAAATCTTGATCTTATGTAAATATTCCATAAAATCTGACTATTCTCAGCATTCTGTACTGTCTTTTCTTAATCTAAAAATAGCTCCTCCATAGGCATCTGCACTAATTACTGGTCATTGACTGTGAAAGTAAACATTTCAAGTAATGCCACTGAAATTTCAAAGGAAAAGTCTTTTCTTAGTCTTTTTTTTAACACCCCTCTACAACTCCTGTGACACCGATTCACTTTCCACACTGTAGAAATGGGGACAAACAAGCAAACTGAGGTTAGAAAGATCTCGTTTATACTTATTTTCTAGCCAAATATAATATACCTTTCCATAACTTGCCCATAGGAGAGCCCAGTCCAGGCGTTCTTGTCCCTGGCACAGGGCTGTAGCGCTGACCCATTCCTTGCTGTACATCTACGGCTCGGCGGTGTGCCGCATTTCAGAAGAATAACCACCAGATGGCAGAAGCGCATAAACCACAAACTGTTTCCGAAGGCCAGCACAATCGAGTTTTCATTCATTTCTTTCTCCAAATTTAATTTGTCAAAGATGTTCTAGCAGAAACTAGGCAAACCATCTTATTATAGTAGTTATATTATTTGAAAGTGAATAATACATCCCAAAGTGCCCCAGATGTAGCAAAAGCTCCTACTCTTCTTCAGGTGAGCTATGAAATTTTTCAATCCCTTGCTCCCTTTGAATTGAAGGGGAATTTCATGTCAATCATCTTACGCAGTGTGACTGGGTGAAAATATATTTTAAAAATCTTTACAAAATGTAATTCGTATTATTAATTGTGCCCCATCGTGCTGGTAGATGCAGTAAGAATGCAACAAAGGAATGGTCTACGCCCAGAAGAAATTACATGGTAAGCAAAATCTGACTGCTATCATATATTTTCTTCTGCTTGTCAGAATCCCATCTCTCACCCAGTCTCCAGCGTTTTTCTCCCTATCACTTTGGCTACCACTGGCATATAGATGACTTCAGGTATATTTCTCTTGTGAGGGTGAAGCCAAACTCATTGTGAAAAAGAGGGGAAAGCCCTGCAGTTCACATGGCTGCATCCACCTCAGGTGGGACACAAGTGCCGCATATATGCTGCGCCTCAAGGATGTGAGACAGGGTCATGAGGCATATAAGTCATGTGTCAGCAAACGATATTTTACTTCATCTCCTTGTTTAGCCTGCAGTTCTTTACATGGTTATCATTGGAGTCTGTTTGTCACAGCCATAATTAGCAGAAGACACATAAATAGTTCCAGGGGCACTGGAAGTGCACACACGATGCTTCACATCCTCCTTTGCCTCTTTCAAGGATATCCCCAGTATAATTTTTGGTCTACAACTCTGTAAACTTTGTTTAACAGGTTGGCTGGAGCTGTTGCTGAGAGCAGCAGACATACCCCAGCAAACTGCTATGCTCAAGAGCAAGGTGGCTGCTTACTCTGCAAGTCAGAGCTTCCTGTCATCCCCTCCCTGTCCTACACAAGAACACACTGCCCTAGAAATGGTAAAAGTATAAATGAGTAATCTAAGAGCTGAATTTGACAGAAAAAGAGAGAACATGGTAGTCAGTTCTCAGATAAATCATATATAGCGGGTAATTTCCTGCTTCAACTAGTAAATAAGCCTACCAGGGTTTGGGCCCGACTAGACCTGCTGTTCACAAACAGAGACGGGCTGGTGGGTGATGTGGTGGTCGGAGACCATCTGGGGCACAGTGACCATGAAATAATAGAGTTTTCAATACTCAGGGATGCAAAGAGGGCCATCAGTAAAACTTCTACCCTGACTTCCACAGGGCAGATTCAGAGGGTACCTTGAGAAACAGCCCTTGAAAACAAAGGGGTCCAGGAGGGATGGACATGCTTCAAGAAGCAGGTCTTGAATGCAAAGGAGCGGGCTGTTCCGCTGTACTGAAAGGCGAGCCAGCAGGGAAGACAGCCAGCCTGGCCGAACAGGGAGATTTTAAAGGAAATATGGGGAAAAGAGAGCTTACTGACTATGGAAAAAAGGGCTGGCTATTCATGAAGAGTTCAGGAATATAGTTAGCTCATGTAGAGAGAAAACTAGAGAGACAAAAGCACATTTTGAACTCAGTCTATCTACTTCTGATAGGGAAAAAAAGAAGTGCTTCTACAAATACAACAATAGCAAAAGGAGAGAAAAGGAAAACCATTCTTTGTTGAACAGAGTCACTAAAGATGAGGAAAAGGCTGAGTTACTTAACACATTCTTTGCCTCAGTTTTCAACAGTAAGACAGGTTGTCCTCAGGACAACTGGCTTCTGGAACTGGTAGACAGAGACAGGAAGCCAAATAGCCCCCTTGTAATCCAGGAGGAAACAGTTAGCGACCTGCTGAGCCACTTGGATCCTCACAAGTCTATGGGACCATATGGGATCCAACCTAGGTTGATGAGGGAGCTGACGGAAGAGCTCGCCAAGCCTCTCTCCATCATCTACCAACAGTCCTGGCTCACTGGGGAGGTCCCAGATGATTGGAAGTTTGTGAATGTCACGGCCATCCCCAAAAAGGGCTGCAAGGAGGACCCGGGCAACTCCACACCAGTCAGCCTGACCTCAGTGCCTGGCAAGGTTATGGAGCAGATCATCCTAGGTGCAATCACACAACACCTACAGGATGGACAAAGGATCAGACCCAGCCAGCACGGGTTTAGGAAGGGCAGGTC